GTGCCTTTTCAGCACTCCGTACAACCTGGAATATTAGAGTCAGTCATAGAATAATGCCAGAAATGAAAACTTTCAGTATGTCAGGTCAGATTTTGCCATTAAGCAATTTAACAGCGGCTGTCAGTCCAGTCACACTGTGACGAGTTTCTGTCCCAAAATGCCGTTTAGACTACTGCGGGGTTCCGCAAAGAGTAGATTGAAAAGATTCTCAAAGTATTCACGCCACTTCTGACGGATTTTCATCAGGGGTTAGAGGGTTGCCCCTCTGAGCTGATCAAAACATAGATCGTACCTCCCTTTCACCCAAGCAAAAGGCGGATATTCTACCAGAATACTCCATTTGACGAACGATAGTCTCAGTTTGTATATCTCTGCAGATGATTCAAATGCCTTTGCCCTTTGCAGCATTCCATGTTTTTGCTTGTTTTGTAACTTTCGATGTATCCAAATGCCCAACGAAAAGGGAACTCTGTCCGAAAGCCTGGTCAATTATGCCATCTTCGCTCTGACGAAGTCTTGAGCTTCTGGTTTCCGCCAAAGACTTGATATTATTGCCGTACACAACACCAATAGCCTTTAGCCTGCAGCAGCATTAAGTGGAAATTGTCTTAGCAATTCCAACGTCTTCAGCATCGTCTCTGTGCCAGAGGCTTGACTGGGTATCTGCTTACATGTTGCTAACGGTAGCCGTTAACTGCTTCCTGAAACCTTAATCTTCCAGAGCTTCCCACTTGATTCGAAAAGCAAATTTAAGTCCACGGATGAGTGATTCCGACTTTTAGAAGGAGCAGTCTGCAGACATCTGAGGTAGTGTCTCTCAGCAGGCATACCACTAGTTCCTCCAGAACATCTGGCACCATGGAAAATGAAAATTAACGAAATCATTATTAAGTCGATCAGGGGGGACCGAGACCTTATATATCACATAACCTAATGCATTTATTAGACAATGGTGTTAGAAAGTGTTCATTACGGACAAGTCGATGGCGCAGCAAAAACCTAATAGCGTGATACCATTGAGG